CAGCACCAACTGCAGCATCGGGCGAAGGCAATTTAAATATGCATGGGCCATTATGCATAAGCGATGCCTGTTTCTCCATCCTCGGATATTTGTGCACAGAGGGAAAATTACACTATTGAAGAAATTGGGAAGAAGTCTTTGATTGAAATTGGTGTATTTGTATTTGAGGTTGCTAAAAATTATATTTAGTGTGACCGAGGTGCCAAAAATGATTCGAGTGTGACCATCAACTAAGACGAAATGTGACCAAAGTAGGAATTGAGTGCTGATTATGTAAGGAAAAGTTTTGTTTAGTGTACTTACACTTATTGGTGTGTGCCACATGCAACTTCAGTCGCATTTAGTTGCGCACTCAAGTAAACCCAATGGGGCTCTCAACTGACCCACTAAAGTCGCCCGTTCGGTTCACGGACTCCAGGGACCTGATGCTGTAACTAATTCCGAGCAAAACCCATTCGATGTGGCATATTTAAAACTTAATTTACATGGCCGTCCTCTGCTCGCTTAAACCCTAACCTTTAGCCCCTCTCAGTTGCTCGTGCTGACCCCTTCTCTTTCTGGCTTAAAGCCCGACTGGCAGCTGGTTCGAAGCGGAGCACTTTGTCATTTTCAGTTTGTCACACTTTTGCCCAAATAAAATTTCATCGCCTGTCATAAAGCCTTGAGAGGCAAGTGTCACAAGCACTTAACTCAAGGAGGTGCATGAGTTGAAGGGGGTGGTGCCGCAGGTGGGAGGGAGATAGCACTGCAGTGAGGTAAGAAGTGAAGGAGACAGCACTCCAAACTGCTCAAGTGGGCCAGGCCCAAAAAGAAATATGCCAAGCAAAATTCGTCATGTGCCTAAAATCAGGAAAGCGTTGGAAAGAAAAGATAAAGCCGATTTGTTGTGTATTTTTGCCCAAAATGTTGAAAAGGGTTTAATATTAGAATAAATATCTATTGCTAAAATAATAGATTCTCTGTTCAAAGCATCTCGTGTACATATATCTACGAGCAAATTAAAAACCTATTGCATTTTAAATTGTAAAGCTTTTTGTATACCTCCTTTAAAGCTCTCTGCCAAAAATAGAAACCTCTTTCCTTTAAAGACGGCTTTTCCTTTCATCTTTCTGCCATAAAACAACCACATCAACACCTTGTCTATCTCCTATTTTTATCCCTTATCTCTTATATCACTTGCTGCGGAACCAATTAATGTTTACCCCACCCAATAAATATGTTTGCCGCTGTCAACATTTGATTCCCTCATAAAAAGTGAACCATCAAATGGCTCTACCCCCCAATAGATAGCATGCACCTTATGCAATAAATGTTTTCTCAGGCCCTCTAAGTAAAAAAGTTTTTGGCATTAGCTGGCGTATCCAAACCAAATAACTGTCAGGGCTAAGACAATAGAAAGGACAGAAAGCAGACAGGCCCAGACACATCCCTATATAAACTTATATATATGTATAGAAAGAGGGTGGGTAATGGCGATCGCAAGAGGGGAGCACCAAAAGTTGTTAGTTTGACAGCCGCAAGACAGCTGTCTGTTTGGAAAAAAAAACCCACTTTTACTGGGGGGTAGCGAAAAAAGAAGCGAAAACATAAATTTTGATTTACTCGCCTGACAGTTGCTCTCCGAATTTCACACGCACCCCACAAACCATCAAAGGTCGGGCACAATTTTCCCATTAGCTCAAGTGAAAAATCACTGCAAAATCGGTGAATAGAGAGGATGGGGCTGAATTTACTGACCACCAGTAAATCAGGCAGACCTTACATATGCTGGAGACTACATATATTTCATGGGAGGCCATTCAAAGGCACATTATGGGCTAAAGTATGGACCAGTAACTTTTCCAATTAAAAGTGAAATAAACTTTTGCCTCCGGAACTCGCTCGCCGAAAATTTCAATTAAAATCATGACTGGCTAAGCTGGAATAGCCAATAAAAAGAGCTCATCGAATGATATTACCGATTTACCTACCTGCCCGGCGTTTCTTGTCTCTAAATTAAGTTGAATGACTTTGGTGCTGGTGCGACCACGTGGCGTATACTCAATTATCGCAAATCGTTTGCAATTAAAGTGCCAAAGCCACAAAGGCACAAAATCTTGGCAAACGCCACTTCTGGCTTATCACTATTTTTTTGCCTCATGATTAATACCAATGCCTTGGCCACCTTCGCTTATCACTTAACCAGAAGTCTGGCGACGAGGTTTTCGTTTTTTGTATTTTTTTTATTTTCATTTCGTGGCATTTTTGTTGATAATTTCACTTGAACAGCTTGGAAATTTCGTAGGTTTGATTGGCAGCCAAGTGCCGGCCAAGGTAAACGGGCCTTTTGTCTTCGCGAGTCACTTGTTTAAACGCAGTTTTCATTTCTCGTATTTACTTTTATTGATATGCCTATTTGTGCTCTTAATTTATGTATTCCGGTGAAGTTTTTTGACCGTGACATATTTTTGGAATGATTTTCAAGCGTGGCGTTAAAAACGGGGGCAGTGAATCAGGGAAAAGTAATTTTACTGGGTAATGAGAATTTTTTAGAGCGAAAGACAAGCCAGTAATAATTATAAACTTGCTTATAACATTTTTTAATAAATACTAGCGATCTGAAGTGATGGTATGATAACGATTATTTATTGCAATGATAACGTGGAAGAATATACAGGGCGAAATATATATTAATATAGAGATTTATTAGGGAATTTATAGGAAAGAATGCGAAAGGCTTTTTATACTCTTTTTTATTAAATATTTAATACAAATGAAATGCGAGTTAAACATTAAAACCCGCTTAGAGAGAAACCCGCAATGGGGTATAATATTATATAAAGGCTTTAGGCAAGGTAAACCTTATTTTTACCTAACACCAGCCTTTCCTTTTGAGTGAAAACCCTTTCATCTTTCACTCGCAGCACCCACAACTTTTATCCTCAATTAGGATTTATCTTTTCCCGCAAGCGTTTTCCATTTTACACTAGTTTTCCCGCATTTCCCAACCCCCTTTCCGCCTTTTCCGCCCCCAAAATGCCAACACTAACTAGTTGAATGCAATCAACACGCTCGCAATTAAATGCGACAAAGTGCAGACTTGCAGATGTGGTTGCAGTTGTTGTTGTTGTTGTTGTTGGTGGTGGGTAACCCGTTCCGCCCACAGTTCCAGTTACCTCGACATGTCCCGCTCCGCCCCCTTTTCCAACCCCATGGAAAAGCGACAACTGTCAGCGGGTCTTTGGCACACATTTACATGCTGTACTCCCCCCTTTGCACCTCGGCCTTTCTGTTTAGCGTGTGAATTTAATTTGTGCATAATTGCAGTTGCAACTGCCATTGCAGTGCTGCAGTCATAAAATGTCAATATCAAATTGTAATCAACAGCCAAATATTTTCTTTTCACTTTGGCAATTTTGTTTTTAGATAGGTTTGCTGTCTTCCAGATACTTAGACCTGAAAAAGGGGTTGGAAAAGCGGGGCCAATTGACGTATCAGTCCGTCAATTGCGTAGGAAAACGTCAGTTGAGGATACAGAAAAGTAAACCAATTTAAAAATTAAGTTTAAGTGCTGTGGAAACTAGTTTTGGATTTTTCTGGCCAAGAGGTGGGTTTAATAGTTTGCAGTTTGCATTTGTGAATAAAATTCTCATGCAAATGCTTTTCGTTGGAAATGAAAGTAGAGTGAAAATATATGGCTTAATTGGCAAAAGCTTTATTATTCAGTTGCACTGAATTTATTTATAATGCCACTTTTAGTAGGAATAATAACTATGGTCATTAAATTGTGTCAATATGCATACAAGTTTGCAAATGGGCCATATAAACATAATGTTGTACAGCTCAGCTTGGACCTTTTACAAAGTCACATTTTGCTGCCCTGTGTAATTATTGGATTCATAAATTTTAAACCAGAACAATAATATCATTTGTTGTGACGCAACGCATATGCTTAATATTTCATATTTATTTCAATCATTTGTTGATACAAGAAATAATAAAATTTGCAACCTCTTTGATATATAAATTACCCTGCTAAAGGCGAATAAAATATATTGTGCTTTAAATAGGCATTCATTATTTCATATATTCATAATTTATTATTTCATTAATTTCAGAACCATGCGACAGACTCAACGAAAGTCCCTCAGCGAAATGTCCAAGCGAAACGGATTCCAACAGCAGAAGGCCATCAAATAGATTGGCAATAAAAAATTAAGTAAATCTAACAAAATTTAAAAAAACCCAAAGGAATATACACTTTGAAGTGCCAAAAATAAGGGAGGAGTTAAAAGAAAAGCGACTACGAGAACTCCCCGAGGAGAGGGAGAAGGTTCGTGGTTTTTCGTGGACCGTTTGATAGAAAGCCGTCAAAATTACGACGTACCACCCACCCACGCCCAAAGTCAAACAGAACCCGGCCAATACGGACACCATGTCCGGGCCGGGTGCTTTTGACGATGAGCCGCCTCCGGAGCCGCGGGACGGATGGCTACTGGTGCGCATCCACGTGCCGGAGCTGAATGTCTACAAGTGTCTTCAGTTCCCATCGGAGCGGCTCGTCTGGGATGTCAAACAGCAGGTGCTCGCATCGCTGCCCAAGGTAAGTCGGTCACTGTCATTACCATTTGCGATCGTCATTATCTGTATCGCTGTATATAGAGCAGTGCATGGTGTCTCATGTGCGCTAGAAACTCACTAAACGGGAAGAAAAACCTCTAAACTTGGTGCCTTTTCAATTAAAAGAATATTTATTAGGTCTTTTAAGCTTGTATTTTTATGCTTAGCACTCAAAAACAGTGGTCGGGCACAGGAAATAGCATTGCTCTGCCGCTACACGTACAGTGTACAACAGCATGGGCACACAAAAATCGATAAGCTTCCCGCTGCTCTAAAGCTTAGTAAATATGCTACAATTTAAAAGGCAGTCTAAGTTTTATTTATTTCCCCTCATCATAAATTTAATATGCTAATCAAAGGCTTGCTTAATGGTCCGAAAATTGTAAATATTGTATAGCCAGTCATCCATTGCATTCATTGCATCATAAATCTCAGATATTAGACATAACCGGTTTCCAACTCATCATCGTAGGCGAATAGCAGTTCTATATAGTAGGACCAAACCACAAACCATGCATACAGCAAAATAACTGTAAGGAAAGAAGGAAATTAGTTATATAGACTCCAGATTATTATGATATGATACCCACACATAGTGATGACTGTCAGGACTATGATGACAGTATTAAATGTATAGACGGTCAAGGCGAAAATGTGTACGATTATCCAAATTGGCACAAATCCCAAAAAGGGTATAAAGAGCATCTCGTTGTTCTATAAGAAAATTAGACGTAAAACTGATATTAAGATTTCCAACTACAGAAAACAGTTTAGAAATAAAAAACAATCCAAGAAATTCAATTATAATAGTTTTATATCTAAAGTACCAAAGTTAGGAGTATGTTCTTAGATGATACTTACATTATGCACTCCCATGCATAGCAAGGCTGAAGCAATGATCCCGAAGAAGGAGAACACCATGGTGGCCTTGAGGGCCGCCGGTGCTGGGAAGAGGGACTTTTGGTACTCATTTGGGAAGATGCACTCCATCATAAAGCCGGTTCCGATGGTGATATACAGGAACCAGGTCAGAAAGATGCATCCAAAGAGCAGCACCCCGAAACGCAGGGAATAGCAGAAGCAACACTTGGTCAATATCTGTTTCAGATATCTGCAGCGACAAGCCATGTTTGATTTTTGGTCCTCAACGAATTTTAAATAAAAATTTCTATATTTTCTTGACAAATTTGAATTTATTTTACTGGTAGATTTCTTGTTACAACATATGTCTATACTTTTATGTTGAATAAAAAAGGGGAGAAGATGTTAACTAGATCAGAAAATACGACTAGAACATTTTGGTAGATTTATTCCTTTATTTTTAACTTGCGTCAGCATATCAAATTGAATCATCAGATTCCACACTGCTGAGATATTTGTAATAACCATACACTATCAGCAGAGAGTATATAAGACCGACTATAGGGATGATAATCAAGATCTGTAAGTATTTGAACAAATAATACGAAAACCCACCTATAATGATAACCTGAACGGTTAATATAACCGGTACAGGTTTAGATTTTGCCAGCTGGACAATGGCCAGTATAATATACAAACCGAGTATAAATACATAAGTGATCAACCACAGTAAGACATAACCCCGCTTGCGCTATATTATAAATGTATAGGGAGTAGTCTCTAGCTGAAATAACTGAATCACTCTCTCACCTTGGAAGCCGCATAGATTAGCAGTATAGAGCTCAGAGTTCCAAACACCAGGATTGGACACAATATAACGGGAGCCCACCATTTAGTGGATGTCATCCTGATAAATACCGAGTCACCATTATGCGTTATTAGCTCACCAACGTGGAAACCCGTGAGGATCCCTCCAATGATCATGCAACCTACGTTCAGGGGCAAGAAGAAGCAGCACTTCTTCAGAAACATTCCGCTAAAATTACAATGCTTTGAGGCGAAAAGTAATATTTATCAATTTCTACATGAATTTTGACCGAAACTCTTGAATGCAAAGATCAGTTGATCTTAGTATTTTTTAAGGAATCTTTACATATTGTTCAGATACTTATTTATTAAATCCAGAAAGGTGAAAAGTATGTTCCTGTCCGCATTTATTTGGCTGACCCAGACAAAAAACCAATTACAGCGGAATTGCAATGCAATTTTTCACCAGATGTTGTTGATTGAAATTTTATCCAGCTAAAGGCTGCCACGTGCTGCCCTTAAAACATAAAGCAGGCCACGCCCCTGCCCTCGAATGGCTGCCAAATGCCCTCGTGAAGTTTCAATTTTTTGAAGTTCAATGCAATTTTCCGGCAACTGTAGTGTCTGAAGTCGTGCGCCCAGTCTAAAATCGTGACGCTGCAGATCCAAAGATATTTGACAATTGAATGGCAGTCTGTCTGTCAAGAGAGCGAAAAATAAACCCAGCTAGAAGGAAGGTTTGATTTTCAATGGTTAGCAGATTTGGTAACTTTCAGTGGAGTGGTAATGAAACAATTCGGAAGAACTAAAAAGTAATACTTAATAATGTTTATAATTTAATATATAATTTATTCAGTTATTAAAAGGGCTTGGGAAGTTAATAATGCGAAGAATGATTATGTATCATTTAAATGGCCTTAAATTTAGTTATTACTAGAGCCTTAAAGATTCCTAAGGGTCTTAAACTTCCCTGTTCCTTTGTGCTATCGAACACCAAACAATGGCCAATCAATTGTATACATTTAATAACAAATTGTTTGAGCAAATTGCTGTCGAAACATTGCGGGGGCCGCGCCCATTACAATATTGAAACCGCAAAATTGCAAACGGAAACTCAGTGCGCAACCGAAACCGAAGCTCGACCCAAACTCGAAATCGCTCTGGAATCAATTCGAACTGAACTGCGCTGAACCGAACACAATGACCTCCAGCTAATTGCATGGCCCGGTCTTTCGTGCCGGTTCCGTTTTCGATTTGGTCAATTCAAACTCAACGCGGCAAGTGACAGACGTTGCCTTGTTTTTGGTTTTTGGTTTTTGGGGAGGGCGGATTTTCGGCAGTGGGGGCGTGGCAATCTGGTTGTACTGTCAGCTTAGTAAATTATGTTGTAAATTTGGATCGGGTGTGTGGGAACCAAATGCTGAGAGTTCTGTGCCAACTCTATTTTGGGGATATTTGGTTGCACAGGAAGGTTCCAAATCCAAAATGGCCTGTATTTGGTTTAGAAACTTTGTTTCGAGATTGTTTTGGATTTTTTTTGGAAGCTTTAAGTTTCTGTTACCTTTCTATTAATCTTGTAGAACTAAGGAATCATTAACCTGACACTTAAACAAACAGTTTAGGATTTTGGATGGAACAAAAATCCTGAACCATTCGGATAAATATGTTTTCTGTTTACTAATATATATGGCTAATTAACTCTCATTGGTTCCTAGGTTTCCATGAGTTATTCCACCTGCATATAGCTCTTTAAAGTAGAAAGCATATCAGGTTGTCGACCCGTTTCCTGCTTCCACACTCGTTTATCAATCAGCGAACTGGCCGCATATCTTATCGCAGGTTTTCTCTGACGACTGAACATAGGACCCTATAAACGCACACAGATATTGCCTTTAGCCCCATCGTAAAGAATACGATTCATGCTATCATCGCACAAATATTTGCGGGCCAATTGAGGTCTTTCTTCTTTACACATTTTTTTGCTCAATCTTTTGAGGGCCTTCGATAACTAAGGAACTGATGAGTAAATCCCAAAGCTTAAAGACAAAAGTGAGTGACAGTAATATCACTTTTTATCGGTCGTGGGCCATTATCGTTGGGTTTCATAAAAATACTATTAGGTCTGGTGTGGAATTCGCTTTCGATGACCGATCTGCGTTATATATTCCGAGCTTCAATTAAGTTTCACACCATCCATCCATCAATCAGTCAATCCGTCTGTCAGTCAGTCACTCAGCCAATATGTCGCTGCTCCAGTTTGTAGTTGTGTGTGGGCCTCTGGCATCTCAACTTCCGCCTGCTAATCAAATCGTAGTTGAAACTTTTCTGATCTGTATTCGCTTTTGTGTTTTTAGCTGTTTTTATTTTATATATATATATTTTTTGCTTCAATTTCTGGGTGGGCGTTACTTACCGGTTTTGATGTCTAAGTCGTTTTGCTTGTAATGCTCCACGGGCTTTGTTTGGCCCGAAGTTCAGCTCGGTTAATAAACAACTTTGGCTCGTGGCGATAAGAAACCAGTAAGGAAAGCTTAGTCGCATATGGATTTCTTGGTGTCTCAATTTTTTCGGTCTAAGGTAGCAATGGAGAATACGTGTAGGGAACATTTTCAGTGTAATTACGATAAGGGAAACATTGGAAACGTTTCAATAGTTTCATAATTCCTTTTTTTATTTATATACAAAAATACCTACCTTACTTTACCTTCATTATTTAGCTGATTCAACTATTTCTCAACTTAAAAGAAACTTTGTTTTAAATTTCATTTTCAAAACTTTGCTGTAACTAAAACTTGAACTTAGTTGGCTGAAGTGCAAGCAAATTCCCACCATAAATCAGCCAAAGACTAAAGCTGCATTCAAAGGGGATTTCTAATCGAATGCTCTTAACTTTTCCATCCTTGCAAGGATAGACAGACAGACAGACAGGATAGCCCAAAGTGCAGAAGGAAGAAAAAATTGCTTTCAGTCAAGTGTGTAGATGTGGTCAGCGAAACCTGTGTGTTTGGCTAAGACAGATATTCCCCTAAAAGACCCTTATTTACGACCACCGCCACTTTAATCAATTGAACCCATTTCTGGGCAAAATAAACACAATAAATCTTGAACTAAAATTGCCCAGAAACCAACAATGGCAATTAGTGGCTTAGTTAATGGGAAATGCCTCAATTAAGCCAAGTTAATGTGTAGTTTCGAGTGACATGTAGAGAGTTGTCCGCCCAAGTTTCTTTTTGGGGGGAATTACTACTGTGAAAACTATGGTGGCGCTGCCTAGAAAATTTACAAAATGTAGACATTTTGCAAAGCACTTGTATATACATTCTACATACATATATATAAACCCATCCAATCTCTAGACGCTCGTTAGATTTAATGACGCCGCATAGTTTGCGCACGCACGACATCATTTCAGCGACTTTTTGCCACATTCCCCTCCCTTCTGGCATCCAGCTTAAGTGGCATAGAGACCCAGTTCCAGGACCCATCTGTGTCTATATCTGGGGGTCTTGTGTCCCTCCATTGAACCGTTAATTTGGGTGAGAACTTTTCAGAGGGAAACCCCACCCCCAAATTCGCATTATTCATTCTGGCCGCCTAGCAAAACGCCAGAATGTCACATACTTTTGTGGATAATTTGGTTCGGAGGGGAAAAAGCTTCCTGCCGAGCTGAAGCCATTGTTCGCAGCAATAAAGATGCTGTCGATATGGAGAGAGCTCCATCGGTACTCGATGGTAGTAGTCCTCTTCTGAGATTGAATTTTCTATTTCTGCGATGGCCAAAGGAGCTGGGAACAATGAAGTGGTAAAGTTTTATAACCATTTGATGGCGTAGGGAACAATGTGTGTATACGTTTAAGGTTTATACAAACCAAAAAAGGTCACGTCATATATGGTATAGAAAGCATAAATATTCGAGAATCCCTTGCCGCGTATGCAAATGTATCATGCTTTAATTCACCACAACAGAAAAAAAAATTCACAACACAACATGCAGCCATCATAAAGTGTAAAAAGAACTAAACTTAAATTTAATGAAATGAAATTCATAAAAAAAAGAGTTTTATGACATTTGGCTTGCTCACGCGGGCTTACATGGCGTATGCGTGATATGTAAATTTTATATAGGCTAAACATGTAAGTGCCATCCATATTTATATATTTTATATATACAAATGTAAATTTACATGCATAAAACGAGAACATTGTTATGCGGCATGACAGGCTACTACAACATCAACCATTACCGTCAACAAGATATTCCTCGTTATTAATTAAAATGTTTTGTTTTCATTAATTTTGGCATTGCTCCTGGCGTCTTTTTTTATTTAATTAAATACCAAACAAATTAAAAATTTAAACGTAAAACAAAATAAACAAACGACGACAACGCTGGATGGAAAACAACGAAATGTTAAATGGAAATGCTTTTGGCCACCCACTCAACGTATACGTAATATGTGACCTGCTGCACTGCGATGGCATCGATATACAAATAACAACTGATTGAATTTACACGCCGCAATGTTTGACTCGCATCTGATCCGAATATCCGATATGCTGTGCTGCCGGCCATATTTGTATCTTCTTGAAATCACTGCGAATAATTGGCACAGGTGGCCTTTTGGTTTAAGGTTGGTGGCTGGCTATAATACACTCATTAATACCTGCCCATATGCAAAGATAATACCATGAATAATGTATTTTCGCAGCACTTGAGGGAATGTTTAATTGTTTGGAAAGAGCATTATTGCAGCATTACTGTTCAGGGGAAATTAATATTGTAATTGTCCTTAAAAAAAATATATATATTTTTAAAGGACCAACAGATTGACAATTAAAATTTGTTAATATGATGCTCCCTATACTACTACTTATAAAAAACATCAAGATATTAAAATTGTTTAACAAATCAAACAAATATTTTACATTATATATATTTTTATACAGTTCATTTTATCATCTTTAATTGTTTAATTTTTTTGGAAAAAGAGAAACTCAACGAAAATGAATTTTTAAATAAAACATTTTAAATTTAAAGTATCTAAAACTGAACCAAATACTAATGATGTTAAAATAGTTAATATTTTAAAATTAAATTCTGACTATATAAAGTACAGTAGCTCTGGTTATTTTATTATATCAATGTAAAATATTGCAACTTAGGGTATCTCTATCTTCGGTTAGTGTAGGACATGCTCCTTTCATGCTGCAATAAATATTTATTAATTTTTAAGTTTAAGTTTAATTTTAATTGACACGAAACCCGCAGCGATTGTCGGTCGAACACCTACGCAAATATTTGGTTGCA